TCTCCAGCTGATATAATTAGCCTGTCCGACTTTATTTTAGAATGTGCCGCTGATTCCAGGAAAGTACCTGACAACTTTAGGGGGACTGGTCGTATTCGCCACGTCATTACGTGTTCGCCACTAAAATATGGAACTTTATTCGCCAGACTCCATGATTCATGAGAAACAATAATATCGGAGCAGACCGGTGTAATCATGCTAAGAGCGCTTAAAGTTAATTATAGTTATAATACCGTACTTAATCTTGATACACACAAATACACTTCTTTCATCGCGTACATTTTACAGTTCCTCATTCTGATCAGTTACTTATTCTGATCTGTTTACTCTTCACCGTTAACTCACAATTATCAATTTAATTTGGGCATAGACAGAAATTTTGGTAATCTACCCGTCAATATTTGTGCAAATGCCTTGGAGTTAATAATAATATGGCTGGTACGTTAACTCCGTTCATATTGTGCCCGTTACATTGGTCTTAAATGCAAGTTTTATAAAAATCAAAAACTATCAGAGTTTAGTTAATTGAAACTTTTAGTAATTCAACGGTCGCTTTTGCTAAAATAACCTTATGAATTTGGTCAAGGAGGGTGTATATTAGTCGACAAATTTTGTTAACTTTTCAATAGTCCTCGTTTACTAGTGTACTGTAATGTTATACAAATTGTACTGTGGAAAATGGAATTGACGTGTTACCCAAAAGTGCTGCAAGAAATCTGTTTGGATCAATGAGGGGGGTTCGTAGAATATAACTCGTAAAAATATATAGTCCGCGTTTTAAGCTGTAGGTAGTAATCTCGCCAAGTGAGAGCTACTGTGCAAACTACACAAACTAAGGCCATGCAGAATTAATGACTACATGGTCATCAAGTAGGTGCTCGCCTTCATCTTTGTCAAGGAATTCAAGAAACTTAAAGGAATATTTTACCCTGTTTAAAAACAAGTACAGAACTTTAAGGCCATGCAGACTTACCACTGCATGGTCGTCAAAATCTTTCGGCCAGTTTTGCATACAGCCGCCTTTTTCATTAAACTAACAGCGATCTATATAAATTAGTAGTGTTATTGGTGTTTTCTGGTAAAATGTAAGAATGTACGCCGTTGTTTAACCACGGACATATCACGCCTATTTAAGTCTAGTTGCAAATAATGGCCGTAAAATATTCGGATAAATAATGTAAAAATTCCGCGTTAATCAGTAGGCTGGCATTGGACACAGTGCTTTGTCTCTTTGATTGAGACGGGTTCGACGTGATGAATATTGATTTATGAGTAAAATAAAAATAGTGGGGTGAACTGAGCGTGAGTGAATTAATAAGTTTGGCTTAAGCTGGTCCACTCGGTAACCGTGGTTTGTATTGGTGCCGTTAATTTGAATATGAGCCATATTCGATCTCAGAATTTTTTGTGTGGTTACTTTAAAATGCTGGCATTCTGGGGCGTTACAAAAGGTTTGCCTATGGCCTCTCTTTTGCACATACGACAAAATGTGCCTTCCCAGCAGTAACCACGTAGCCTGGCCTTTGGTTACCATAGTGTATCAACTCTCGCTTCATTACAAATACAATTATTATCAGAAATTATTGTCGTCAAAAAAACTGAATAATTGGAAAATTCAATCACATTGGCCTTCGCCCTGTATTAAAATGTTGCTTTCTTTCTAGAAAGTTCGATTTCGCCATATATGGGCGTGGAACATTTTATAAACTTATAAAATTAGCCTCGATGCTACTGCCTACATAACTTAAAATATTAAATTAACATACTTGTAACGATGAGTTGTGATGTGGATAATATATTGACGCAATTACTGACCAGCACGGTAACACACAACTTATACAGTACAGTTACTCCTCAGGGCTCTATTTCTTAGTTACTGATTTAGTAACGCCATGTATGGCCCGTTATATTTCATTATGTTCTATCACATTTCGCCAAAAATTTTCCGCCAGAAGTAGCACATTTAGCTTACAATTCGTTACTTAGTTACTAATTTAGTAACGCCATGTATGGCCCGTTATATTTCATTATGTTCTATCACATTTCGCCAAAAATTTTCCGCCAAAAGTAGCACATTTAGCTTACAATTCTTTACTAGTGCAAACTGAGCGCTTTTTATGGAACGACAACTCTTACCTTGGTGGCCTGCAATGCCTCTTCTTGGGAGTTGTCCTCTTCTTATCCACTTTGTCGCCGTCGTGGAGTAGAGATCTTTTGAGTTTGTCTTGTCTTGCTTCTGAGGTATTCTCTCTGTCCTTCTCGGAGTTCGTCAGAGAGATAGCCGTCTGTAGGATTCGTCTTCCTTGGTTGTCTCAACTCGTTACTGTGTGGGAAAGTTCTTTTAGAATTAGAGTCTCGTTTCAGTCTCCAATTTGTAGGAACCTCCCGTGGGAGTAACTACTAACTAGTCACTAGGTCTACGCAATTTATAGGGCTCCATCCTATAAGAACCAGTATAGGATCTAACTACGCCTGGTATATAGTACTGACTACAAGTCTTAATAACTTGCGGTCTAACTACTAGTAGCTAGAGCGCTCTAATGATGACTAGCTTGAGGGTCTTCGGGATCGATAGTCTCCACCAGTATGGTGTTACTCTAATTCGCCAAGAACTTGTATCCTCCTGAAACTGTACGAGTTAAGCTTGTGATTAAATACGGCTTTCTGTGTCAAGGACTCAAATTTACTGGTGGCACTGCACACTTTTAGTAATTGTAACGACTCAACTTTCAATCATAGTCTCAGAGACTTGCAATATAGCAGTTTTAGTAGTTGTAGTGTAAGCGATTAATGACAGTATATGAAAAGACCAGCAGAACATCTGGTCATCAAGGTAAGTAGTATCAAGTATCATAGTATAGTACAATAAAATATAGTATCGACCGAGCTAACCGACCTTAGGATGAGTAGGAGGGGTGGACAGTTGAAGAGCTGGTTCTCTAATCTGCATATCGCCACCGCAGCTTAAAGAGTCGACTTTCCTCAACCAGTCCGGAGATGAGTCTGATCGCTGGCCGGAGATGAGTCTGATCATCTTCAGTCGCACGGAGGCAGAATCAGGGCGTCATCTTAGGGATAAGGGCAGGAACAGAGTAGAAGTGAAGAGATCCAGAGGTTCAGTGTCGGAACGATCGGAGGCCGAGTGACCAACTCGAAGTTGGAGTAATGGAACTGAGTAGAAGTGGGGAGAAGTCCAGGTCGTCATCTCGGATAGTCTCCCAGGTTCTGTTAATTTACCGTTTAAACTCAGAGGTCCGATAATTAATTGGTCGTATCGGCTCGGTTTCTCTCGTCCTGTCCCGGTGCACTGAAATATGAGATTTCGCCGTCAGGACACCGGTTCGGGGGCTCCGTGATTGGTTGCTATTCGTACGGTTGCCACGGTGATTGGCGCGCTCCACAGTTTGATGGAAGCCGTATCACTGCAACTCTTAATGAGCTTTCATTCGCTCCTAGACAGATGTCCCGTCCGGTCCATCACGGTATGAACTAGGTATGAAGTGTAAGTGTCAACTCCCAGTGCTCAGTTATTAACTGAGCGACAAAAAGAATAGGGGGCCGAGGTTCTTACAAGAATCAAACAATAGGAATTCAGTCTTCTTTTCATTGAGTGATAATTTATTTACACTGAGCCATTTAAAGATTGTCATAAGTTCTATTTTCATGTTTATAAATGTGCTAGATAGTAAATTAAACTTAGATCATTACTGAACATTTATTGGCCTCATGGAACAATATCCAATGCAAACTTATTAAACCTAAGATGTAACTCAGTTAAGCTATCAGATCGTGTCCCTAAAGCAAGGTGGAAGCTCCTAGGTCATATCTTGCGTAGTGCTGATGACTCCCCCGCTGCATTAGCGTTAAAGTTTGCTGTCACAACAAACTGTAAAGGGCGCGTCGGTGCGCATCGTAAGAATTTGTTCAAGATTATTGTGAATGATTTGACCCGTAGAGGTTTAAAACTTAACTCTTTGAATGATCTTAATAAGCTTAAGATATTAGCCGATGATAGAGTTGCTTGGAGAAACAAATTTTAACTCTAGCTGTCTTGATCTGTACTGATCACCATTTTAGGATGACTTGATTTCTTTTAGGGGTTTTGAATATTTTAATGGTGTAAACAGTTTCTTAATAATAAATGTGCTTCTGCAGGTTTGATCAAAGAATAGTGCACCATCATCTGCAAATAGAAAGGGCTTAGATAGGTTACAGGCATAAATGATGTCATTTATGAAGATACTAAATAATATAGGCCCAATGATGCTTCCTTGTGGTACACCATTCAGAACTTCTAAAAATGAACTTAGTTTGCCATTGATCCTAGTGCATTGATATCTACAAGATAAGAAGTTCTTAAACCAGGTTAAAGCAATGCCACCAATTCCATAATATGCCAATTTTTGAAGCAATATTTCATGATTCACTGTGTCAAAGGCCTTCTTAAGATCAAGAAAGATGATTCCTGGTTTATAAGACTTAGATTTACTCATATATATTTCGTCCATCAGATCGTACATCAAATAAGTTGTGGAGTGAAACTAGATCTTATCTAGCGTCTTAAATGTGTTTGTGTCACAATTAGGATGTGTGACCCTGTTCTGTTTATAGTTGTTATTATGGGTTGCAGTCTTGATGTGACAGAAAGTCTACACTTTAATATGCTTAAGTTTATATTGTGTAGTTCCAGGATATAAAATGCAACTTCAAGGTGGATATTATCTATTGAAGAGCTGGCGAAAGATTATGGCCTTTGTATCAACAGTTATAACAATGATGTTTCTATTAAGTCTACTCAAGGAGGCTACTATAGCCAGCTTCAAGTCCTAATGTTTTGAGCTTCAGGGCATGCTTAAATTCGATCTACAAATACAGTGTACTATTTTTTATTAAACTTTTGTTTTATTTTTTATTATAGTGGCTAAACAGACTGTCTGATTTAATTTTATTAGTTCTCTACTTGGACAAATTTGCATTTACATCTGATTATTTTATTCTTCAGCTGTAGCAATGATGTTACGAAAAAATAGCTTGTCAATATCTTCCAGTATTACATCTATAAGCAGACACAAAAGCAGTGGACCCCCACCATTGGCTGAGAAAATACATACTGACAAGCATTTTCTTGGACATGCTAGAAGTCGGCTTGACAGGTAATACTCAAAGAGTCACATATTGCGTCCAATCATTTTTTGGCCCATTTTTAACCCCCCCCCCCTCCCCCTCTGTAATCAGTTTTATACATAGCTATTGTGTCAAAATTACACTAGCATAATCAATTGGAAACCCCCCTCCCCCATCAGCTGATTACGTAATATGTGAACGACCCCTTACACTATAATTTTTCTTTCGTTAATTATGCTTGTTGCATTCACAAATGCAGCAGTTCATATTTTCATTAATTAGACAATACGTCTAGATCCTGTCCTTCAGATTCAACTGTTCAAATGTTTTTTAAAGAATCATATCACACTCAACTGAAATGAAATAGTTGTTCTGTCTATTTACTGGACATTTTTTCAGATTGGGAATGCACAGGACTATGTCATTGAGGAAAGTGCCTATTCAAGCCCAATCAACGAACAGTTTTAAAGGTATGACTCCTATTTTTATGTACTAACCACTGCTATTTTGATATCTTTAAATTTGTATTTTCGTTGGTTGTTATTTTCTGCCTGTCAAAAGTTTTTGTTTATCATCATCTGTACTGTACGACTAGCTATAACCTCACTCCCTGACCCCCCAGACGTTAAGATGCCTGTTGACAGTGTAGTTGGAATCCTTAGCAAGCGCAAGATTGAGAAGCAAAACTGTGATGTAGGAGAGTCGACCATAATGCAATCACAGAGAGAGATATCCAAGAATGTGGACAAGTGGGTTTTTTAATTTTGTATTTCATTGATTTTATAAAGATAAGGCATTGGTTTTGAATGAAAGATTATTTCTAAAACTTAAACTGATATGCAGCTTTGCAGAAAGTTGAGCAACATAGCTGACAGCTCATACTTCTCTGAAGATGTCACACCTACAAACTGTCAGTACACAAAGGAGTTAGAACTCAGAGATTGCAAGGTACTTATTAGTTTTAGTCCAAGTTTGAATGTTTTTAGAGTTGAAACATTTAGAGTTGAATAAAGTGAACCAAAGTGGACATTCTTTATTTATAAAGTTAACTTTGAGTAATACTGTGAGTAGATAAGGGACATCATCTAATCACAACTGTTCTATGCTCATTGCCCAAGTATCTATTGTTGATACAGTCATAACTTTAACAACTTATCAATTTTAAAAGCCGACTTATTTTCAGGCAGAGGACAAATTGTTAAAGTTCCCAATTGACAATGAAAATGTTGTTTGGGAAGAAAGTCATATCCCTTTTACAGATCACATTTTCCTTAACAAGTGATTATTTTTTATTTTTATGTTAATTTCAGTAGAACAAACATTTAACTCCTAATAAAAGTAGGTGCAGTACTCAGAAAATGTCTAATATTTTAACGGACTTTATTTTTTTAATTGTTTAGCTTTATTCCTTCACAACAAGTCTTAGCTAGAAAGTAACTACAGTATATAATAATTAATAATATTAATTAAAAAGTATTGTCACTTTTTCCAGGTACTTGGTCCTATTTCCACCTGTAACCCACCGCTTCATGGAGACGATTATCAGCGCATTGCAAAATAATCCTGATCTCACAGCAGACAAGAAAAAACAAATAATCTGGAGTTATTTAAACTATTTTAACTTCCACAGCGAGTTACTGGAGGAAGATGAGGAAGACATTCTCACGATATAAACATTGTTTTAAAATAATTCTTGAAAATAAGGTTGAGAATTTCTTTTTTATCTTAAACCTGTCAAACTTGTACAATGGAAGAACATAATAAATGCAGTGGTGTGTATGGTGATTATGAACATTACAAGATTGATACAATTATTCTCTATAATTTAATAGAGTAGAATGCAAATTTTGTAAAATCTTATGTTTATTTTGGACATGCTAACTGGTGTTTTACGTTAAATGCTGTACCAGAAATACAGAAATTATTTCTTCATCCTGCACTGTGTTATTCACTGAATTTATTGTGTTATTCACTGTGTTATTCACTGTGTTATTCACTGTGTTATTCACTGTGTTATTCACTGTTATTCACTGTGTTATTCACTGTGTTATTCACTGTGTTATTCACTGTTTTATTCACTGTGTTATTCACTGTGTTATTCACTGTGTTATTCACTGTGTTATTCACTGTGTTATTCACTGTGTTATTCACTGTGCTATTCACTGTGCTATTCACTGTGCTATTCACTGTGCTATTCACTGTGCTATTCACTGTGCTATTCACTGAATTCCAATGTGATTTCCATAGCAAACTTAAATTATTCCCCTATGACCCCATATTTCATGCATGGTGATATTACATTTTATATTTATATTTAAGTTATTTAAATTCTCATGCATCTCTTCAGTTTCAGCAAAAAGTTTTAGCAAAAAGTTTCAGCAAAAAAGGTTTTTCAGCAAAAAAGGTTAATCTGTAGATCATTGGTTATAACAATGACTGATAACGGCCACCACGAAAATGATGATAATATACCTGAAGAAAGTGTATTTTCATTGCTTTTTGACGACTCTGAACATGAATTTATAGCCCCAACGGCCAAAATCTCAAAAGAAGATGTCCATCAGCACTTTCTACTAAAAAACCTCGCTACAGAACTTTACGACTTGCTAAAATGCACACATGCCATTTTCAAACATTTTGGCATAAACTACTGGTTAACAGGCGGATCAATGATTGGTCACGTGAGACATAGTGGAATTATCCCCTGGGATGATGACATTGATATCTGCTGTTTTCGGGAAAACAAGGAGAAGATATTTAGTGAGGAGGTCCAGGAAGCGTTCAGGTTGAACAATGTTAAGGTTATTGACAACCAAACATTTGATATTATAGACTCAACGCTGTCCAAGATATACCGACACACTGCCAACAGTAAAGCCAATACATCTGGCAAAGTACCATATCCTTTCATTGACATATTTTACATGAAAAAACCAGACAAATATAATGACACTATAAGGTTCCTCTCGAAATGTAACGACAACCATTATATCTATCCAGATGAGCTTTTCCCCATCCAACAAATTAGCTTCGGTCCTGTCACAGCTAATGCACCACGTGACCCGTTACCTCAGCTGGATCGAGGGTATGGTAAGAAGTGGCCTAAGGAAGGGCAGATTCACATTTATGATCACGTGACTAAGCAACGTAAAGATGGACCCATTAAGAAATTTGATGTTTCTCCTTTTTTAAATGTTAGTGCTGCTTATGATGCTAGTTTGATAACGAGTAAAGTGATACTGCCTCATGCTGGAATGTAGGTGCATGTGATCAAGTGCATATTTTTAAGGATCCAGTATTTTATTGTTTTCAATATTTATCTGCAAGATATGATTAGAGACTCATATCATGGTGACTCATTGTAACTTGTTGTCCCATTTTCAATTCTAAGCTTGGTGAGCGTAGCTTCTCTGTAGTATATTGAAGTGCGTGCTCTAAAGTGAATTTTCTTAGGAAATACTAATTGATATCGATGTTTATCATTTTTAATTAAAACGTCAAATATGCTTCACTAGGATAAGAAATGTGTATTTTATATTCTATTTATTGATAAAAACTTGCTGGAATCTAAGTATCATTATTGAGAACATGTCCTCATTTTATTCTGTTGTACTAGTTCAATTTTTCAAAAATGTGGTTAGCATTCCTGAAGATTACTTAACACCACTAAAAACTATGATCACAACTTAAAATCGCATTAAACTTCACACACACGTGACTAGGAGCGAAGGCACACATGGGACCCGGCGAGAATTCTATAGACTGTTCGTGCTGCACGGGATCTAGAGTCAGGAGGTACCTCAAGTCAAAGCTACCCTGCATAGCATGGATGAGAGCGTACAATTTGAAATGTCTTCAGGGTGATATCATCGCTGGTTTGTTTACTTTTATTTTTTAGTTTGTTACTGGCCGTATGTTACTTTCTGAGTCGGTGAACTATGGATATGGTAGCGCCATGAGAACGTACCTTTACTTTGTCCCTTAATATTTCCAATCAAGTCATCATGTGCTATGCCATGAATGAAAAATCATCATCAGATTTACGGTTGTGCAACTGATATGCTACTATTAATATAACACATTGAAAATAAATGTTGATGACTCCGACAGACTCCAACCCCTCTTTTGCTCAGGATTAACGGTTGATATAATGGTGTAACCCCTCTTTTGTTCAGGATTAACGGTTGGTATGATGGTGTAACCCCTCTTTTGCTCAGGATTACCGGTTGGTATGATGGTGTAACCCCTCTTTTGCTCAGGATTAACGGTTGGTATGATGGTGATCCCACAAGGTCTAGCATACGCTCATTTAGCAGAACTTCCTCCTAACTTTGGACTTTACGCATCGTTCATTGGTGTCCTTGTTTACATTTTCACTGGAACATCAAAAGACATCACGTGAGTAGACCTAGTTAATCAAACAGTTAATCGAGCCAGGAATTTTAAACTTAGACTTAAAGAATGTTACATTTAGAAGTGGATTCTGCTGGGAAAGTGAGGCATATTTTTGACACGTGACAGCAATAAACCAATCATCAAAAACTATTAAGTAATCAAACCCCAGAATCACTGTCACGTGTCAAAACAAGATGCCTCACCTCCCCACCAGAATCCACATCTGTTGTGTCTCCGATTAAAATCTATATTTCTAGCAGGAACCACCTGACAGCAGTTCCCTCATTTTCTCATGCTTATTTTAAAATATCGTACTATGATACTAACCTTGACCATCCAACTGCAGGATAGGTCCAACAGCCATAATGTCACAGATAGTTGCGGAAGTAGCTAAAGGTAATACTAAGCTTGCAATCTGCTGTAGCCTTGTCGCTGGATGTTTTCAGGTACTTTTAATGATTGCTCTTTTAATGTATGCTTTACTTATGATGTTTGCTATTTATAAGTGTAAAATGATCTGTTGCTCCGGTGATTAATAGTCCGGTCATTAATAGCTTTTCTTGCTGAAGATTTATTAGTTAATTATGGTTTCTTTATATTTATATTTTTGGCCTTGTGGAAATTTTGGCCTTGTGGAAATTTTTGGCCTTGTGGAAATTGTCGGTTAATAATAGATTTGCTTTTTGATGAGCAACAGCAACCAGGAATTGCTCTGAAATTCGTTATTTTTGAGTACATATTCCTTGAGAACCAGCTAGAAAAAACAATTAATCAAAAAATCAACAAGTAAAGTTCAAAACAACAAGTTAATTTTCATAAGATTCAGATTTTATCCACAATAAATCACTAAATTTATAAAAGTCTCTATAATCCCCGTTTGATGCTCAGGTACTAATTGACATCACTTCATCATATAATATAATCACCCCTTCACAACATCATCCCTAGCTGAAGACGATTAACACATATATTTTGAAAGTTCCTGCTAAAACAAACTTCTCGTATCTCTTATATGTTTTAAAACAAATCCCCCTCCAGGTACTAATGGGATCCTTCTTTCTGGGGTTTGTGGTGTGGGTTATCAGTACACCCATACTGTGTGGCTTTACTACAGCCGCCGCCCTTACTATAGCAGTCGGACAACTTTCTAAACTACTTGGAATTAAAGGTGTTAGGTGAGTAAAGGTGTTAGGTGTTGCAGGCGTTATGTTGCAGGCCTGAGGCGTTAGGGATGACCATTATTCGACAGTAATGCCGTACTAAACTTCACTTTTTTAATATACCGTTTCTTAACATATCACCATTATATATTAGTCGACAACTAATTGTTTTGAAACACTGAGTGGAGACTCTCACTTCGTCACCAACTATCAAACTATATAATCGACCCACTCATAAGAGCTAAGAAATATTACCAATATCACCATTATCTGCGTAATAAAAACCCAAAGATTTACATTCCAGGAGGCAGTTCTGGCGCAACATTTACGACACTTTCTCTAAGATAAAACAAACAAGATGGCCTGATGCGGTAATGGGATTAATTTGTTTGGTCGTGCTGTTCGCTCTGAGGTACCTTCAGAGGTGGACTGAGGCTAAGCGAAACAGGTGCTGGTTATTTTTTATTGCTTTTGCTGTGGTTATTTAGAAATTACTGAGTATAAGTTTAACTTAATAGTGGTTTTATTAACCTTTATAATTGAATTTTAATAACTTGTTGGCGATGCATTGTTTTACAAATACAAATGATTGTCTCTCAAAACATTTTGATAAATCCATGATTTAAATCTCAATTTAATCTATTGAGTATGTAATCAGGGTGACGAGTCTCAAACTAACTGAAGGATGTTCAAAGTATATGTATATAATAATTTGGAGACACTGTAATAACATAACCTCGGTTAATTATATTCTTAGTTAGTTTACATTGGTGGAGTTTTGCTTTTAAATTTATCAGTATCAACAGCTTGTTTTAAGAAACGTTTGGTTATCTCAGCTGTATAAATCAATCACTGACAGCCAATTGTATATTTATAATTAGCTTATGCAAATATTGTCGTACTGATTACAAACTAAATCTGTGTGTATCATGTGTGTTAGAATAACATTGTTAGTTCTTTGTGATACAGTGCGATGTCATTACATTAAATAAATAGTCACATACTTGTACCCTACATGTGTGTACAATTCAGTTATTAGACTAAACAGAAACCGAAAGTAATTCTGACACGTGACTCCGTACTAGCTACAAACAGAAACCGAAAGTAATTCTGACTCCCTACTAGCTACAAACAGAAACCGAAACGACGACACAGAAACAACACAATAACAGGCACGGACCTGTACCTGTTCTCCCCTCCGAATGTTAGTCACGTGGACTTGACAGAGAACTCACCAACAGAACACATCCCGCTTACTGACCTACAACGACAAATTAGTGTTCTGACGTTGGTGTTATCTGTGATCTGTGATCTGTGATCTGTGATCTGTGATCTGTGATCTGTGATCTGTGATCTGTGATCTGTGATCTGTGATCTGTGATCTGTGATCTGTGATCTGTGATCTGTGAATACTGTTTATGTTCCCCAGAAAAGTAATCATCACTTATTTTGCGATATAAAATATCATCTGCTTGCCAACCTTCTCACAGTCAATGAGAATGTTATGAGGTTTAGAAAGTAACTCGTGATGGTTATAACATTCTTTAAATATAATATCTATAATTGAGTGTAACTGTAGACATTAGAGGACCTCTCTGATGTAACTTCTATTGTCGTTGTGTATAATTAATAATTACGTGCGGTGACTGTTTTAACTGTTTAGATATTACATAAGACTTTTAAACCGTGCTGTAAAATTTCATTCCTCTCTTGTATACTAGGTCTCGCTTTAATGACTTAAATGTATCTTTTTTTCGGTGTACTTTAAATGTGCAAGTGTGTAATAAATGTTAGAATTTATTCATCTATTTATTATGTATTTAAAACATCGCCGCCCCAGGTTCAGCTGTTTGACCGGTTTATTGGACAATGTACAACATGTACATTGTACACATGTACAGCATGTACATTGTACAATGTATAACATGTACATTGTACAATGTATTTAAACATGTACAACATGTACATACTACATGTATAACACCGCCTCCCCCCAGAGCAGACACCCAACCCACCTACCACATCTCCCGTCGTAAGAGCACCGCCCTTCACGTGGCCTGGTTCATCGGCGTCTCCCGCAACATCATCATCGTCATCTGTGCTACCATCACCGCGTACCTCATCACCAAAAACATGTCCGACTCATCAGGTAAATAATCAGTTTCGCTTTGCCATGTGTTTCACTTTCACTTTCACTTTCAGAGTTGAAGCACGGAGGAATATAAGGTTACAGAACGCAGTGAGCACGGTGGGCTGGCTGTTTTGTATCAGCCGGAATATTGTTGTTGTTGGTATAGCGACGGGCATTGCTTTCTCTGCTAGTAACGGTACCGTTATTGTAACTCCGTGTAGTACAATTTAATGGTACACCCCTTCTTCGTAGTATACATAGTATGTATACATTAATATTATGCAATTAGTACATGATAATTGAACAGTCTTTTTTCTTATATTGTATGTTTGAAATGATGGCTTGACACACGTGTAACTTGTATGATGATTAAATCTAAAATATAATGTCAGTCATGAATTATTGAAGAAACAAGTTATCGTGCAACTGCAACTGACAGTTAGAATGCCATGGCAGCTTACAGCCCCCGCCCCCCCCTCCCCCCCCCCCCCCCCCCCCCCCTCCCGTCCCCACCCCCCCCCCCCCACCCCCCTCCCCACCCCCCCTACAGTCAGCTCTGTAATTCAGATTTTATGATTCTGTGATTATAGAGTATTAAAGGTACTACTTGTACAGTGAAGTGCCTTCAAGAGATAGTGTCATATTATTACGTAGGAGAGTGTCGGGTAACATCTTGCAAACTTGAAATTTAACACTAGGACATTGATAATATTTTATTCCGTAATTTGATATTTGTGAGTAGATTTTAATTTACAATTACTTCAAAAATTTGATAATTCGCGTGTTTATGATTAGATATAATTACTTGTCCACATTATTGAATATAATTTAAACTATGGATGTCGTAATTTAATATGTAAAGATGTAATAACTTATTGTATGTGACAAGAGAAACACCATCTTAAGACGCGAGGAGAGTGAGGACTCCTCAAACTTCGATAAATATATTCCTTCTGTAACGTCCTCAATAAATTTAATAGATTTTAAGTGTTGTAATTAGTTTAAAACTGCATTAAAACTACTTTAAATCATACATATGTAATATGTAATATGTAATATGTAATATGTAATATGTAATATGTAATATGTAATATGTAATATGTAATTATATGTAATATGTAGTATGTAATATAATATGTAATATGTAGTATGTATCAATATGTAGTATGTAGTATGTAATATGTAAATATATAGTATGTACTATGTAATATGTAATATGTGTGATAAGGTAGTAATTTTCATGATGCCTCACCTTGAGGAGGACAATACGGCCCCCTGATAATCAGGGTCCACGGTGATCGGATCACTAAAGGCGGTTATGTTGTGGTCCAATCAGCAGTCTAACATTGAACACCGTGATATACACTGTTGACTGTACACTGTGTTGCGTAGTTATAAGTCACCTGATCTTTAACAGCAGTAACACTAACAGCATCTATACTCTATTATAGTGTCGAATATAAATTATATAATGGGCTTAAATGCTACATTTTAGTTCGAGATCCTCTTATCTTATTCTTTATCGGCCCTAATTTTATTTGGCCAACCAAGAAGTGTTTCCGGTCATAAGTATAGCCACAGAAGCCACATTTCGCAAAATCAGGGCCGGATAAACAAGTGTAACAACAAGTGTAACAACAAGTGTAACAACAAGTACAGTGTAACAACAAGTGTAACAACAAGTGTAACAGCAAGTGTAACAACAAGTGTTACAACAAGTGTAACAACAAGTGTAACAACAAGTGTAACAACAACAACAAGCTTAAATTTAGTGTGTATTTCAGGCACCACACCGTTCACAATGGTTGGGAATATAACCGGGGGACTTCCCAAACCAAGAGTAGATCAGTTCTCTTACATTTTCAACAATGATGGTAAGTTGAAGGAAAGTTATTAATTAAATTACATTAAATTACATTAAAAATAATTTAAATTAAAGAATAGTAAAGGTAAAGGAAAATTATTACGCAAGCTTTTTTCCTTCACCGACCCGTAAACAACTCTACGAGTAGCTTTTGTGTAGAATTTACAGGCGTTTCTAAATTATGACGTGTACCTTTTTGGTTTTTGGATAATCGCGAGTCAAGGCCAGTGTGTAATAAGACTCGTCAGGATATAATAAACAATTGATTAGATAATTGTATAATTACTTAATTATTGTTTAATCACACAAGTTAACCACGTTCTTCAGAATCAGTATTATAATTTGTTAATCAAATAAATAACAACTTAATAATCCTCAGAATCAGTTTGCGGATTAGAAACGGACGAATCTAAAAGGTGGACATGTAGAGCACATACCTTTACAAATGTGACAGAAGAGAAACAAGCCTGTATTGACATGGCTTGTTGTTGGGATCCTGTTGGGATAACAAAGTGTTATAGCAAGGGTAATTCATTTGTTAATTCTGTGATCGGTTGATTGTTTGATTTCTGAAGAAATGGCCCATTAAATTTGCTTAAGTTGTAATCTGTAACTCTTTGTTCAGAGTTTCAGATTTTGAACTGTTATCAGTCCAAAAGCAATATTAAATAATAACAATATATTTTATATTAGGATAATATATAATGTATAATAGTAAAATATAAATAGTATACTCACAAACATTCATCCACATATTTTATTCACGTTGAAACTCTTTAACAATCAAAGTGTTATCAGCCAGCATACTGATATTTGTAATTTTAGTTATAACTTAATTAATTAATTATTTAATTTTTAAAATTTCTCAGGGTTTAGTGTATCGGAAGTGTTATCAGGCAGTATACTGATAACAGCTATTGGTTATCTAGAACATATTGCCATCGGACAAAGCTTTGCTGTTAAAAGCAGCTACCAGATTGATAATAGTCAGGTAGATTACAAACTTATTTTACTTATTATTATTTGATTAATTTGTTTAATTAATAGTGGAGTAGATTACAAACTTATTTTACTTATTATTATTTGATTAATTTGTTTAATTAATAGTGGAGTAGATTACAAACTTATTTTACTTATTATTATTTAATTAATTTGTTTAATTAATAGTGGAGTAGATTACAAATTTATTTGACTCATTGATTGATAATTAATGAGAATTCGATATGTTATCACTAAGATTTTCTAATTTATCAAGATCCAATTACTTAAGTTTCATTGATAACTAATTAAAAATTTATAATCAGGATCCCCCCCCCCCCCCCCCCCCCCCCCCGCCGTAATCAGTTTTACACATAGCTATTGTATCAAAATTACAATAGCCTAATCATTTGGAAATCCCACCTCGGCTGATTACGTAATATGTGAACGACCCCTTATTCTTTCTCCAGTTATCTAATCAACTAAACATTTAATTAACTTATTAATTAATTAATTATCAGGAGCTGATAGCACTGGGATTAGCCAATGTGGTGGGCTCCTTTTTCTCCAGCTACCCAGTTACCGGTAGTTTCTCCCGTACCGCCCTCAGCTACATGGCCGGGGTCAAGACACCACTCGTGGGCCTGTTTACCTCCACTATCGTTATGCTCGGGCTCAGGTAATGGTTGAGATATTGGCACGTGACAGCTGTAAACCAATCAGCGTATACTGTTGATCGATCAAGTTCCAGAATTAATATCACGTATTATGAAAATATGCCTCTCCACCAGAATCTGTTGGTTTAATAATGGGTTTTATAATTAGTTAGTTACTCTGTTGGTTTAATAATGGGTTTAATAGTTAGTTAAGTAATTGGGTTTTTTAATTAGTTAATTAATTTGTCGATTAGTTAGTAAATGATTATGTGATTTTACCTTATATTCAGAAAAAAATGGTCCTCCCTTCCACTATCCAGATCTATTAAACAAATAACAAAAATTATCCAATTAATAAATTACCTCCCCCCTTTCAGTTTTCTATCAACGTACTTCCAATATGTACCTGATGCCTGTTTAGCGGCTGTTATCATGGTGGCAGTTTACCCGATGGTTGATTTCTCAAAACCTATATATCTGTGGAAGGTTTCCAAGTAAGTTTAGCTTTTTTATGCTGATAATTTAACTTATTAACTAACACCTTAAAAACTTAAATAAATAAAGGTGTTAAAGAACTAATTTGAAACTGGAATTTATCTGATTAATATTTGTAAGAATAAAACATAAAATGTTGATCTTCAAAAAAATATCCAAATCTTGAAGTTTTCCTTTTTCAAGAAAGTTTAATCCGAACTTTTAACCCAGTTTTTTTCTTCAGGAAGGAATTTTTTGTTTGGACACTTTGCTTTGTTCTTATTTTAGCTTTCAACATTGAAGTTGGCATCGGTGTCGCTATCTGCTTTGAGATACTTCTTCTATTAGTGAGTTAAAGATAACAACAATTGTCTGGTCCATCGTGCACAACTAGCGTGGTGTTGATCGTAGACACAAAAAGATTATTTTACATAAAAATCTACATTATATACATTATGTAGGATTGGCATTGTATTTATATAACTATACCTATTTGATTTTTTTCTCAAAGAGAGTGCTCGACTGCAGTTAAGCAGGAGCATTATAATTCGAACAATTGAAACAAATCAAATTGGCGGGCAAACGATCCGTTTCATGATATGTATAAAACAATACCAATCATCAGTGCCAAATAGAATAATGAATTGTAGCGCTATGATGTTGCTCCTTTATAAATCGCTATGATGTTGCTCCTTTAAAAATCGCTTAGATATCGATTAAGTATAATCCCAAGGAATTTCATCATGTGCAACGTGGATATCAAGTAACTTGTGAGTTGTGAGTTGTGACAGTACAATATCTAGGGACTGAAGATCAACAATGTCTGTTAGCCCCAATTTCGCCTCCCGGAGAGAGGGAAGCCTCAATCCAACCTCACCTGCGGGCTACAATAACAAGTTAATTAGTGGGTCTATAACCTGTTTCCGTACATTAAAGTAAAAATGTGGTAGAAACTCGAATTCAGTGATCGACCGGGATCCCGGCCCCGGATACGGCCGGGATTTGTGTTTTTTCCCCGGCCCCGGCCCCGGCAAAACAATTTTCAAAATCCCGGCCCCGGCCAGAGGCCCCCAATCCCGGCCCCGGCCCCGGCTTTTTGTCAATTTTTGCCGGGATTTTGCCGGGATTTCTCGTAATTTTCTGCCTCAATTTAAACCGATAGATTATCAGAATTTATCTTGATTTTTAGACTTAAATTAAACACAAAATTTTCGGTAACATGAGATCGAGTGAAAAATATAAATACGAGGACTTGACATCATTCCAGTTTGATATTCAGAAAATTTCAACTTTGAATTTACAAAGAATGTAAAATATTAATGTTGATTAAAAAAGTTCGAGGTTGATAAAAAAGTTCGAGTAAAGTCATGTGTTCGTGTACCGTTTTCTTTCATATAACTAGTACAAACGTCAAACAATTTAGTTCAGGAGCAAAAAACAGTAGAGAGTGAGGCCGACTCAATGCAGATGATGATGATAGTCATCAGATCACAGATGACTACTCGTTTCCGGTGTCAGCTTCAGTGTCCGAAATATCTATGTCCGGCTACAAGAAAGCCTTTCTGAGTTACATTTAACTATTAAAGAGAAATAATCGTTCCTCATCCTTTAAACATTGTGTAGCTGCCTTCTAGGTTGACCTTGAAGCTAGCTCACATTGATACGAGTTTCCGGAAACTTTCAAAAATTTTCAAAATTAGATTGAAAAAATCCCGGCCCCGGCATATTTTAGCCAATCCCGGCCCCGGCCTTGGCAACATTTCAAAATCCCGGTTAATCCCGGCCCCGGCTGATTCAACTTGGTCCCGGCCCCGGCTAAATTTCGTCCCCGGTCGATCCCTGCTCGAATTCTTTATTAGCCTCATTTTGGCCTCCTACAAGTAGACTCGGCGATTTCTGTAATGTTGAGCTTGAAGAGGATGAATCAAAAAGCCTCATTTCGCTCTCTCAAAAGGTGGTTAGCCTCATTTTCTCCTCGAATATTTAAAGCTTAGATCTCGTTCAAGTATAATCACTATGGATTATACTTGCAACTTGGATATCATGGACTTAACACGAGAAAGTTAATTTTTGAAAGTGCTGATGCTAATTCGTTAGCCTCAATTGTCCCTCGCAGTTCAATCACTCCTACTGAGTATAGTGAGCGAGCTAGGAGGTCACCGAACACTTCATTTTAAAGCCGTATCGATATTCTATAGTCTATACGCATACCAAAAATCAAATGCGTAACTAAAACAGAAATGAAATTACAAAAGTTGTAAACGAACTTTTAGTGGTGTTTCTAATAACCAGGGTCATGAATGCAATTTATCATATTATTATCGTTATCTTTCAGGGACGTATGATGTGGCCGTCTGTTAGTATAAGACATGTTGGTGATGGTACCTACGATGTTAAAATAGATGTGAGTGTTTATTTATACTGTTTAATATAATATTATGTGGATTTTGGTTGAGAATTTAAAAATATTTGTTTGGACACGTGACAGTGATTCTGAGATTTTATTGGTCAATACTGGAAGCTGATTGGTTAATCACCACGCTGTCACGCGTCAGGAAAAATTATTTTTAATAGTATGCTTTCTCTATTCAATTAAGTGATGAATGGTTTTTAAAGTTTAAACTTTAATAAACTAATTTTTACAAAAATAAGACCAGCAACTCTTCAGGGAAGTTTGTGGTACCTCGGAGCATTTACTGTAAAAGAAAAACTAAGCAGTCTGATAAACGGGACCTACGTTAAAGATAATCCCGGGCTTGATTATCCTGTTGAGAACGTCATTATAGATTTCAGCAGAGTTTCCAAGGCAGATTCAACTGCTTTGGACAAGATTAAAGAGGTCGGTGCAGTGGTTCTCTTATTAACTAAACTAAGTGTAGACTTAGCAACTTAACTAAGTAAAGATTTACTAACTTAGTAACTTTACTTATTTTACTAAATAAAGACCTACTAGTACATAACATAACAGTTATTCTGTAGAAACAAGGCAAGGCAAGAAAATATTTTATTGTAAATAAACTACAGTCTACACGGAGTACCAGTCCGCGCGAACAAAACACCTGTATTTTTACCTTTGATCGTTCATGTCCACATTCTTAAAGTTAGTTTTACCCTTAATCACCCTTAATTACCCCTAATTACCCCTAATAGCCTTATCACTGGTTTCAACTACTTACTGCCCTCCCAGGCGGTAGTGTTGGGTACAAAACGAGACATTCGACTGATGGGATACGGCATGTCGGACCAGGTCCAGATAAAGGCAGCTAAACAAGGTCTCCTCACCCTCATGATCATTGAAAAGGTGGGTTAAGGGTCTTAAACAAGGACTTCTCACCCTCATGAGATGTCGTATCTTCGTTAATTCGCCGAAAATCACCCTGAGTTTCCAACATAATGATGTTAAATAGGGAAATGTGTTAAATAGTTAAATAATAGGGAAATGTGTTAAATAGTTAAATAATAGGGAAATGTGTGTTGTTTGTGGATTTAACGCGTGTTATTGGGGGTGTGCAGATGTGAACTTGAATTTTTTGTTGTTGAAAATAAATGAATATATTTACTTTTAGCATTCATAACATTACATGGTTTGAATTCGAAAACATACCCAAATGTATACATGTATATTGTATATTGTATACATGAATATACATATTCAAGCCATTCAAGCGAGACTTAGTGCACCACGGGCTTTATACTGTAATATGACAAGAGAATATGAATTGTCCAAATCGGGTGTTTTCTAATTAATTAACTAATTGCCCGTCCAGACGGAATCAGATGCTGTACGAAGTGTAAGGTACGCCACAGACGAGTCAGGACAACCTGCTTACGTGAGATTTGACGACAGTATTATAGCTCCCAAGCTCGTTATAAAGGTTTGATAAGAGTATTATGGTTAATTATATTATATAATATATTATTATAAAGGTTTAATACCACTAGGGTGTTATTATCTATTTAATTCGATATAAATGAAATAAAATATGCTAGATCAAAATTTGATATATACATTATACGCTAGCAAAACTCTAAATTTGCTTTCAAAACTTGATATACACAAGCAGAACTCTGAATAAAACTTACATACAAACAATATCAATTTTAAACTCTCTGAACAATAATAACAATTAAATAAACTGACACTCCCAATTTCAGAGTCGATCTGGGAGTATAGAGCCGGGACACTATAGGCAACTAAGCGACGGGTCAGCTCCTGACGATTCAGTCGGCGAGTAAGTCACCTTATCTGACGTTATGTCACGTGGTTTCATATCATGACGTCACGTGGTTTCATATCATGACGTCACGTGGTTTCATATCATGACGTCACGTGGTTTCATATCATGACATCATTATATGATTTGGATTTAGTATTTACGCGTGCCTCACGCGGTCGCGTGGCTTTTCAAATGACTTAAAGTGCTACTTAAGAAATCGTTAGTTCTCAGTAACCTAATACTCCAGCTTCAACCACGAGACATTTTATTTCAACTTTATTTCATGACAGCTCGTGGATTTTCTTGTTTTAACGATTTTTTCGGAAGTGGTTCAAAGAACAGCTACAGAAACGATCCTTATTAAAGATCCGACATTACAGTTTAATGCTTATATTTGAGTTTCCTCAAGCAGCTAAAGATCATGTTAAAGTTATCTAAACTGTATAATTTTATTCGTAAACAAATTATCGATCGCATTTTCATTCCCTCAGTGCAAGTGGTTTCAGATCCTATCATATATTTTTGCGGTAAATTGTTTATGGTTAGATTTTTAATTTTTGGTATGTTAAAGTAATTTTATCTGAGACTCGCAAGATTTTTAATGTGTTATTTGTCCGCATAATTAAAGCGACGTCTATCTTAATTCTTTGCATATTATGGTTTTCAGAATTGAATCAATACCATGAACTGAGATATTTATTCAGTGCAAGTGGGTATTTTCTCATTTCTGACAGGATATATTTTTCGTAAGTTCGAAATATTTCCAAGTCTCCAACAACAATTAATAAAATTTCGTCTTAACTAATTAAGGAGCCCTTTCCTTTAGTGGAACTTTTTATAGATGTAACAGAAAAATACTAGCATGTTACATTTTTATGGAATAATATTTTTGGAAGGGCGTAGTTTACAGATGAACTCAGTGTGTATATTTTGTTACCGAAATTTGTTGTTACCGAAATTTGTTGTGATGCAAAAATGTGTTTTGATATTTTGTAGTTAATGATTTGTTGTTGTTAAATCCTGTTATGATGTTTAATACCTTCTTTTTATTATTCAGATCGCTTGTACATCCTTAATGTCTTCGTAATTATTTATTGAGCTCACTTATAACTTGATAATTAAATTCAAATAACTCCGAATAATTAAAAGATCTGACATATTAAATATTATCACAATATACTTCTTATTTCAATATTTCTGCTAAATCCATTTTTATGACAGCTAAGTTGTGAATTGTACATCAAAAGATATAACTCCAATTCTACTGAGCAGTACTTTTACGGAATATAAATACAAATTTAGGACGAAGAAATGTCAAGAAGGTCTCTATTTAGAGTATAACATGTAACATATTTACCTTAAAAGCGGCCACGGGGTGCCGTTTTTTTAGAGGGAAGATTTTGTTCTGTCAGTGCGTTATTTTGAATAGTCAGCGTCTATGATAGCAAGGAACCTGGGTCCGGATAAAAATGTTGCAACTTACACCAAAATAAATGAGCAGAACACACACCCTGGCCTCTGACACAATCAATTTGTCACACAGTTAAAATCATATAATTTGTAATTAGATTGACGAGCCAAGTTTCAGGAATTGGGTTAAGGTGAGAATAAGTTGATACGTGGATAAAATTTTGAACCGAAAGAAAATTCCCTTCCAGCCACATAACAGGCATTTTTATGTCCCAAATTTTGCAAGGGTTTTGGTACACTTTTGCCACACTTACTTTTAATAGCTAAGGTCCGAATAAGTTGGAATAAGGTAAGGGGGGGGGTCAACCTCATTTTACCTCATGAGGCCAGCCAAAAAAGGCAAAATTGGGATGAGGTAAAATGAGGTTGACCCCCCCCCCCCCCCCCCCCCCCCCCAGGTAAAATAGTACTGTTAAAAATGGGGGCTGTGCCACAAAAACTGAGAACACAACCTCTGGCTAATAAAAGGAGATGTTTTGAGGCGATGTTTTCTCAAAATTTGTGGCGGCCCCCATATTTTTGCCCCCATTTGTGGCGGATTTTACCCCCATTTTCTGAGAAAACACCCTCTGAAACATCTACTGTATAATGGGCAGTCAGAGAGCACGGTTCCTTGATTTGTGTAGTGGATTGGTAGTGGATTTCACAGTTGTAGTGGATTTGTGTTCCGGGGTAGGTTGGAACATGTTTTGGTGGTTAAATAGGTAGTATTTGACCTAAACGATCGGAAAAACTGAGTTTCGACCTCTTGACCCACTCAGGCCACGCCCATCCCAAAATTACGGAAATCCGGGTAAAATCAAGATCGAAAATCTTTACCCCCGTAGTGCATTTATATTCCAGGGTAAGTCGGAACATGTTTTGGTGGTCAAATATTGTAATGTACGCGCGGCGCGTAAAATGTACTTTTTTATTAAATACTTTTCAAATTTTACAGAGTACAGCAATAGATGAATATAAAATAGAATCGTTCAAAATATCGCCCCCATCTGTAAAATATGATGGGCACCCAAACACGGTAAACACATAGTGAACTATGTCCGCAGTAACTTGGACCCATAAATATATAAAATACAAAATACAATATAGTATAAATATTATAATCAGAAGTTTTATAAATCCTATCCGTCCAAGTTAAACTTGAAGGGCGCTACACGCACGACGAAAACTCCCTTTAATGTGAGCTGAAGTAGACTACTAGTAGTAGAGCTAGTAGCGCTTGAAATTGACAGAACTGAAAACGAAATCTGACAATTGTCGCGAAAACTGACAGTTTTGTGTGCTCGAAGTGTCGAGAAATACTGACAGTGCAAGACTGGGCACACAAGAGTGAGTTAAAACATCCTCCACACAACAAAAACTTGAATACACTAATAATAATCAATTATTAAAAACACTCAAGCTCATTCTGCAGTCTTATTAGTCTTATCAGTACTCTTTATAGCACCGTTTCTGATAAAGTGTAGCTTATCAGGCTGCTCAGTTACCAGTCTTTTCATGTCACTGACGAGTTCTCTTTGCTTGGCTCTCTGTTCTGGAGATCGATCTGGGCTGATAAAAACAGTTTTAAACTTTTCCGTTGCTCGCAGGTTTCTCGATTTAGCGAGAATCTGATTAACAATTGTTGCACTTGCCGCAGTCACTTTAACTGGTCTCACATTACATCGAATTAATCTAAATCCAAAAATTTATGAAAAACTATTTAATAACAAACAAATCCATGGTGAATAACTGTGGATATATAGTCAAAATTGGTATTTCAATACGTCAAATTCCAGATACATTAGATACAGGTCTGATATGGTCATTAATGTGTGAGAAGGTGTGCGGGTGAAGTGTGATATGATGTTGAAAGTATAGGAAGGTAGATAAAATTAATAAAACAAAAATAATAATAATATGGGGAGCAGAGAGACTAGGCTAGACTGTTGTTTCACTATCCAATAAACATTTCCATAGATGCTTAGTGACCTCCGCTTTGAAAAGACTAGTAGACACAATCTGTCTTACCTGTAAAGGGAGTCCATTCCACAGTATATGAGTTCTGTAGAAAAATGATTTTGCCAGTGGGCTATTTGAGGTACATATGGTGAGTGAATTCTGACTTAACTTAGGTAGAATTGATGACACAATAGACAGACTGTCGAGGTGGCAACGTCTTAGTCGAGAAGTGCCCTGATATAAAGTGAGATAGTGATGCAGCGATACAGGAATTAAATTGTTCAGAACTTTGTGGAAAAAAATAAGATCATTCAAGTCAAACTTTTGAGACAAAGGGAGAATGTCGACAAGCTTGCACTTTTTAACATATTGCTCAGGTGGATAACTGCGGCCCTCTTCAGACAGAATCCATTTAATAGCTCTCTTTTGGAGACTTTCTAATTTATCACTAAGTGATTTATTACAAGGGCGCCAGATTATGGAACAATTTTCGAATTGGCTACGAACTAGGGAGAGGTAAAGCGCCCGGCGACGTTTCAGATCAATGACAATATGGCCATCTCTTCTGACCATACCAAGTTGTTGGCAGGCCTTAGTATAAATTCTGTCGCACTGACTATTCCAACTTAGCTTAGGAGTAACATCGACTCCAAGATCTTTTTCTAACTCTACATACACAAGAGGAGAGCCATCAAGATTATATGCGAATGGAGGAGATAAAGATGGTTTTCCTGAAACAATAAGCACTTTACATTTTGCTGGATGGAATCGCATTTTGTTTCTAAGTGCCCAGTCAGAGAGATAGTCTATATCCATTTGTAAATTAGTATTATCAGAAGATGAATGTATTTTACGCCAGATTTTTGTATCATCGGCATACAAAACAATATCAGTATTATCCGAAAGGCCAAGAGGAATATCATTGATAAACAATACAAAAAGTAAGGGACCAAGGATAGAGCCCTGGGGGACACCAGAATTAACTGAGAGGGTAGATGACATCTCATTACCAATAACCACTCTTTGGTAACGGCCTTGAAGGTAATTGGTAAGAAATTTGAGAAGTGTACCATCAATCTTATATAAGGTCTTTAGCTTATGAAGAAGGATATCATGATTTACAGAATCAAATGCCTTAGCAAAATCAAAATACACAACATGATTAATAATGTTTTCGTTAAGAGACAATGCCAGGCTATCACAAAAGTCAACCATATTGGTTGTGCATGACTTGTGCTCTAGAAAACCATGCTGCCTGGGATCAAGAAGGGTACTTGTCAAAGAAAGCAGTTTACGTTTAACAATGCGCTCAAAAACTTTCATGACTAAACAAGTAAGGGATATTGGTCTATAGTTTTCAACCTCACTTTTCTTACCTTTCTTAAATATTGGGACAACATTTGCAAGTTTCCATTCTTGTGGAATGTAGCCGCTGTTGTAGGATCCACGAAAAATGCATGTTAGAGGGTAAGCTAAACCTACGGAACAATTTTTTAGAATTTTACCGTGTATGCCATCTGGTCCCTGGGCTTTATTTGAATTAATATTTGAAAGAAGCTTACGAACATCCCGATGATCGAAGTCAATATCAAAATCAACATCATTGACATAGGAGATGTCAGTGTCATAAAGTGAAGGATCCGAAAACTGGTTATAAAAGAAAGAATTGAAAAGTTCAGCTTGATCTTTGGGTTTGAACCGAAGCTGTCCAGAATAACTAACACAATTAGGAATACGGCAGGAGTTAGATTTATACTTAACATGTGACCAAAACTTCTTAGTTATAAGCGCTGGATCATCACTATTGAAAAGATTATCTCTTATTTTGGCTGATGAGAGCCTCTTAAAATCTTTACGGCTAGTAACAAACTTTAACTCATCAGAAATAGAACCAGAAGTTTTAAATTTAGCTCTGAGTCTATCTTTTTTACGGCATGAAGAAAAAAGTTCACTATCGAACCACGGGGGTTGGAACTCTGATTTAATAGTTACTTTAGGAATATGTATATCAACTAAATTCATAATGCAGTCTTTAACTAACTTCCAAGACGAATCAGGATCTAGGCATTCTAGGACTTGCCAATTAATCGAGCATAATTCACGATTAATCATGTCCCAGTTTGCTTTCTTAAAATTATAGATTTTACGTTTAGGAGTTTTCTTACGGGAAAAGGAGCTTTTAATTGAAAAAGTGACAGGAAAATGATCAGATTTGCACACGGAATGAGGATCACAGACATTCAAGTTATCAATTGTGTTATCATAATTACTGAGAAGAATGTCTAATGTATTACCACTTTTATGGGTGGGTGATGTGATCAACTGGGAGAGAGAAAGATCACTGAAAGAATCTATGAAGGATTGCTCAATAGGTACAGTACTGGATGAAGATAGCCAGTCTGTATGGGGGAGATTAAAATCACCAATAACATAGATTTTAGGGGGATTCTTTTTGGAAACTAGCTTGCGAATATAGCTAACTATGACATCATGATTAGGTAACCCAAGAGTTCCTACTCTATAACAAGTACAGATTACAATACTCTCTTTGTTAGGAAAAGCAATTTTAACGGCATGCATTTCTGCACCTAGGCTAACTGGTAGTCGGGTTGTAGTGGCGTCGAGATCAGACCGAACAGCCAAAAGAACACCACCTCCATTTTCC